AAATATACGCAACTCCTTGCGTTCTTCATCACTCAAAGAATGACAGTAGCGTACCTATGGAGCATATTCGAAGGAAAATTGAAATGAAAAGAAATGTAGTAAATTTTAATTAATGGCGGATACTTAAAATTACACAAGTATAAAAAAGGATGAGAAATAAAAATAAATTTTTAAACTTAAAGTAAAAGTTTTTTGGATTTCATTTCCACGTTTTCAAAAGAAAAAGTTTTCTTTTCAATTTCTATATTGCGATTATATTCTTTATATACTTTAGTACTTTTATTCCTTTTCCTTATTCCTTTTTGGTAGGAAAAGAAAACTTCTTTTTTTGGACTTGAACTGAAGTGCATATTTCTTTCTTCCAACTTCAGTTATTGTTACTTACTTCGTTATCTTGCGGCGGTAGTTGGTGCAGCAATTGTTTAACGCGGTAGTTTTCACCAGCACTGTTGACATAGGGCACCTTATCATCTGGCAGTTGAGAGAAATACAAACGAACCTGCAAGAGCAGAGAATAGAAGAAATATTTGTTAAATTGGTACGCTCCAATAACAAAGACTAGCTTAGCAATGCAATTTTTCAATAGGTTTGAATGGCGTCTACTATGAGTGGCGTCCACTGAATAAAAATTAAGTAGCAACAAAGAAATTCTACAACATTTTCTAAATAAATGTAAATAGTCTACATTATACTCAATACCCGGAAGGAGGGGAGTATTATACATGTAACCTCTTAAGGATTTAGGAAGCCTTTTGACGCAGTTTGTAGCGCATTTGTGTTCAAAGTATTTGGCGGCGCCACCCTTTTTCCAGCTACTTCACAAGTTAACAAATTATGTGTACGCTAACTGGTAACAAAAGTGAATTTTACTGAAATCATAAATAAAAAATACTTTCACTTTCCAAACCGAAGTGGCAGTGCTTCTGGCCAATTTCATTTTGACTTAATGGTGCGCCATATTTCAATGGTCGTCGTCGTCATAGTCATCGTCGTCGTCGTAACTTAAATAACTCGCATGACCAATGGATACAGCGTTTTCCATTTGTTTTCCTGTATGCCGTAATCATGCTGAGTTTCGATTACAGTTCGATGAGATTCGATGCAATTCGATACGCCTTGCAGCCATTCATTGCCAATATTGGTACCATTTTGTTAGTTAAATTTTAGAGAGACAGACATTTCTAGGAAAAGTGGTGGAGTGCAGCAGAAAGTGTTATTAATTGAGGTTGTTTGCAGTTTGGAAAAATGTCGTTTAAATTGGAGATAAAAAGTATTGATAGTAGTGAAAAAAATGAGGTTTGCTATGCTGAAACATTTGCTAGGGGACGCCTCTTAGTTTTCTTAAAATCACATTAACTAGGAGTCGTCTACCGTTTCCGCCTTTTGAGCCGTGCAAGTGAGAAGATTAAATAGATTTAAATACAAGCGACTTAAAAGCAATAATTTTCAATCTTAGTTTTTACTGATTTAAATTAAAGCAAATGACTTATAAGTCGATAAATGGACTTTTATAAGCATCGAAGCCGCGACACCTTTTCACTTTCTTCAAGTAAAAATTTTTTTACATTTTCATAACTTTTTATATGTACACTAAAATTGTTATTAATCTCTCCGAACTTAATTACATTTTAATTTAAATGGGCGCTATTTGCCACTAGTTTTGACTTTTAACTCAGACGGTACCACTGGAAAAAACTGTATTTTTGTTTTGCTAATGAACGGAAATATTTGCACGATCCATGAAAATGCAGGCAAAAATATTGCAAAACGTAATAAAATGTATTATCCAATAAAAGTGAAATTCAGCCAATGGGTATCGCTTGTAGTTACAGCAAAAGCTATGAAAACAGCAAATTATCAGATACTCAACAAAAAAAAGTATCTGAGCCTTATGCATGCGCATAAAACTTTCATTTTATTTTCAAAAAAAAATCCAAAAGTTGACTAAAATTCATCAATTGCCTGCCAGCAATCAAAGCTGCATTCCGAAACGTATTAAAACGATGGACGAACATATGTCCATATGAATGTACAGGCACAGATTTTTTGTTAGATAACCCAGCATGTGTCCAAGCAAAAATGTTTTGAATCTAATTTCGTGTCTAAAAAAACTAATGCGAATGAGGTAAATAAAACAAAACTCAAAAGATTTTCTAAAAATAGAGATAAAATTTATGCAAAAATATTATGGACTTTTTTGAAAGCTAAATTGAGTACCTTGATCTGCTAATACGAGGCAATTACTGAAACAATCTTCCTAAAAAATAAACAACGTGATCTACTTAAGTTATACAGGTTTCCACATAGACTGCTGCTTATATATTGGAAAAATACAATAAACTATATAGGGTTTTAAATAGACTGCTACTTATGTATTGGATGGAGTCAATAGTAGGGTTGTGATGAACATTGAATATAGAAGATGATAGACTTTGGTATTATTCTTACCATACTTGTTAAGAAAAATATATCATAAAAATGAAAAAAAATATATTATATATCTTGATACGAAAATTGCAGTATAATCAACAAATTACATTGATCTACAATGCAGCCCATTTTTAGCAAAGTTCATCTAAGCGACATTCATTTACTTCTGGCGGATAGGCATTAACTATAACAATTCCTTTGTTAGTTTGTAGACTAATTTAAAGTGAGAAGTACTAATACTATCAAATCGCTGGGAATCTAATTAGGACATCACACCTTCATGATATACCACTATGACAAGAATATATAATTTATTGCAAAAGCATTGGGATATAATCAAAGTATATTTCGGTTAAGTCCCCTTCAAAATAAGGTAGCAAAAAATGTGTGCACTGAACATTTAATCAAAATTTAATAAAATATTTATTAACTGAACATACCTGATCTGGCCTTAGTCCTGGTGGTACCCAAGTGTATTCTTCAAGTGCGCAACCACTATCATCATCTGACTGCGAGTTACGTTGGAAATCCAGTTGCTGATGATGACTGTGAAGATATGCTGCCGTTTTGTAACTGGCAGTACGCAGTGGTGATGAAATTGAACTCAGCGGCAAATTCGGTGGCGGCTGACAACGACGTTGTGGCGGTGGTACAAAATGTGCAGGTGTGGTGCTATTGCTACCGCCACCATTACTGCTGTTCGAATGCGGTTCTAAGTTACTTGTTACTATCGGTGTGGGTGTGGCGATTGATGAAGTTGGAGTTGAATGATCGTTGCTTGTGCTGTGTTGTAGACTTTGTGCGTGTAGTTGCTGTAAGGATTCGGCTTGCAATTGATAAGCTGGCAAGTGTATTCCAGACGCTTCCAATTGTAAAAGTTCACTCTCAGTTTGCGTGTAATAATTGATTGGTTGTTGCATTATGACTTCGTCTAAAAGTTCCTGATGGGTTCTTACTTTAGTGTTTGAGAGTGAAGTAATTGAGAAACTGTAACAAAACAAATATACAGAAATTCAATAAATAATTTTTTAATATGGATTTTTTTTATAAAAATTTAATTTATAACATATATATTTCTAACATTTATTGAACGTTTTTTTTTATATCTAGACTTAGAAAAAATTAAAACTCATTAATGAATAATATATTTGAAGTCTATGTACCATAATTCTATAATAATACGAATAGTTTCTTTTTATCTGAAAAGATTATCAAGTTTAAGCTTCTGTACTAACTTTACTGTGGGTCAATTTAATTCAAGCAAACATCTATTAATATTGAAGTATATAGAATACTTCTACCTTTGAGCGTGAAATTGTGAGAAAAATCTTCGCATAAGATACAATTATGAGCTGAATCAGATGATGGGAAAGGGATCAGGTTCATAAAGGTTCAGTATATGTGAAAGCTGGTACATATACTTCGCCACCGGAGGATGCAATTATAAACACATAATGTCCCAACAAAGTTATGATGAAAGAAAACTTGGATGATATACTGTTTGATGTGTTATTTGGGTTGGAACTAAATCACAATGACTGAAATTTTTTTAAAAATGATAATACAAGTCATCAGCTACAGCAACTTTGGTTTTGACATGAATTTGATGATAATGAGAATCTGCATTTCAACAGGATGATGCCACTTGTTGCAGAACATGTTCTCTTTGGCTTTGTTACACGAGAAATTTCTAAGTTAGATGATGTGATCGACTACCAAGATCAAGTGATTTATCACCACTGGAGTTTTTTATTTTTTGGTGAGCTTAAGTAAACCATCATATTTATACGGACAGACCTTAAACTCTCGACGCTTTGAAAATGAACACCTCTTAAGTTATAGATATTCTATCGCCAGCTATATGTCGAAAATTCATCGAAAATTATCTAAAAAGGATCCAGCATTGTAAGATATCGCGAGAGGAGGGTTTCTAAATAACGGTGTAAATTATAGAAACATAGACTAGATGGCATGAATACAAAGTATTGATAGTGCACATTTAGTTTTTGTAGACAATTTGTTTGAAAGCCTAAGGTAGACATTTTGTCGCTTTGTATAATTTGATTATGACGTCATACTTCAGTTCAAGTTCTCGTAGAATACATGTGAGTACTTAACGTATTTCCTTAGTTTAGCTATTGGAGCACTTTACTAGTATGCATAGCTATTACACAATTTCTGCACTTGTCATGATTTATACTAAATTTTCTTAGTTTATAATTTCTCAGGGAATTAACAAATTTTTTGAAACCATATCAAGTACATGTGCTTATCTCTTCATGCATGAGTTGAGCTTCCTGTTTTTTTTAAATTTAAAGTAAAGAAAAGTTCAAAGTAATTATTTTAGCTACGCAGCTTATCTACAAATTTCAGTTTAGTTTACAAATCGTTTTTTAAGCCGCACTCGAAGATAAAAACTATATTTAAAGCTCTACTTTAATTCAACACAAATTAAGTCAAATTTGCACGATTTCATGGGTATTCTGTAGATTCTTCCCACATAAATCTACATTTGTAGAACTCTTCACTCCTTCGCAGCGGAGTACGCGAGGAGTCAGAGAAATAAAAATAGCAAATTGCACTTCATTGCATGCACTTTTCCATAAAATGGCAATTTGCTAAACTTTGTTTTGCCGCTTTTATGCTGACTTCATGCCAAATTATATGCAATCCACTAAAGATTAATGCATCAGCAAGTTAATAGGCAGAAATGCGGATATGTACCAGTACGAGCTGCGACGGATTCTCATAAATGTGCAAAAGCTTTTCTAGGAAAATTTGTGCTAGAATTTGCATTTGCTGCATGATTTCCAAGTTTTCTTAATTTACTGGCTACTCTTTTTTAGCAGTGCTCTTTCTTCGCTAATGAAAACGTACTAATTTCAGCAATTTTTCTGCATATTTTTTATGCACCTAACGATCTTATGATAAACGGCAAAATAATCTAGACGCTATGAAAATTCTTGAATCCATGAAGATTTATTCTTCTTTTTGCTTCGTTGCTTTATGATTTTTTGATTGCAACTGTTGCACATGCGTGCACATCTTCAATTGTGCTTTGAGTCCCAACCAGAGTCACTCAGTCAACCGGTCAGTTAGTTAATATATTCATTTGGCCAAGTGAAGCTAGTGTGCTAGTGAAGCTAACACTTGATGTATGGCTGGCAATTGGCTTAACTGATAAGCTCGACTCGTATCGAAGCCATGCTTACTTACTTTCTCTCTGAAGCGATGCTGCCGCTTCAGCAATTATGCAGCGAAGCATTAACATTAAGCATCTTTTTGTGCTGCCTGAGCGTTGAAAGATACTTATTCATGGTTCGTTCAGGTGCCATGCCCACAAATTTGTTTTCTATTTTTTTATGACGTTGTAAACACACAAATTATCGAATTACTTTTCATACATAAAACCACACTTACACTCGTAATATACACAATATCTTTAATATATTCCCATTCATCGTTTTTGATAGTTTAATTTTAATAATTGCACATATTTTGTGTCTTCAAATCTTTCACTTTTACTTTTCCATATATTCAAATTTTACATCAATCAAATATTAACGATTATAAATTTAAATATTCAAAAAAAATACAAAATACTAAACCCAAGCAAGCAAGTATCTGAATCATTCGCTTAGCGTGCCAAAACAAATTAAAATTATTAGTTTTAATCGCAGAAGCGTTTTGCAGACCTCACCTCTAACACAACCGATTAAAATAAGCTGAGACTAATTATATTTAATATTTTGACTTTAATAACAGTTAATTTAACAGTAGCATAAAATGTTACTTTTTGATGCTGTTGTGCCTCCACTCTTTGTACTGCAGAGATACTAAATCTGATCTCATGTACGAGTATCTCAACTAAATAAATAAAAAAAGATTACGTGAAGGAGAATTTATACTGTTTTGTGTAATCATTTTTTAGTAAAACATAAATTTTGCAAATTTGCAAAAATATAAAATAAACTTATAATTGTTATATTAATTGCATATTACCGACTAAATATTATCTCTGAATATTTTGTAAAATTTAGTATTTCAATATTCTTACTATAAAGTTAAAACTTAACTTTACACTAAAATATAGTTATAAAGAATTTTTTTGCGGTTAGCATATAATTAAAATTTCTTATGAATTTTTTCGTTTAATACATATTAATTGATTTTTTCGTGAACATAACAAAACTAATAATTATTATAAGAGAATAACGAAAATATTAAAACATAAAAGAAAATGCTTCATACTACTTCGGCTAATTGACTTCAATTATGAGAATCATTTCTACTTTAATCTACTCATGTGTAAAAAGTACTCACCGCTATGATTAGTAATTATCTACAAACACTAAAGTATTTGGTCTCCAAATAAGCCTAGAAAGAAGAATGCCAACTTCTTAATTAGGTTAGGTTGCAAAAACACTAAGTACACGATCCGCAAGTTTATTGAAACCTAAAGATCTTTCTATCCAATCTAGGCTAAAGGCATCTAATGACCTCATAGTGTCCGTGATAAGTACATAATACCTCAATAGTAAATTCATCTATGTTCTTAAACAGTTCACGCACAGGGATTTGTGTTGAATTTTGAACCTTTTACAAACCGTTACTTCAGCTCATTCCTTTGATATCTCTTTAGTCAGGAATACAAAAAACAAACAAGAATATAAGCATATACAAAAAATTAAAAGTTACGTATTCTAGAGACATATTAATTGCATTACTCATATGAAAATTCAATACCAGCTCTAGGAACTGTTAGGTCACAGATAACATCTGCCAAAAATCTTCAATGTTTCTATAAAAGCAATTTCTTGAAGTCGATGAATAGCGTTTCATTCAAAATAGAATTCAAAAAAAGAGGACTGATACGCATAACACACATCTAATAAAGAGAACACACTCTGTTTTCATCTCAGCAAAATGAAGAAACACCAAAATTGATCCATTAGTTTTTGATATACCCTTAAAAATGCAATTTATAACAGTAAACAGTGAATTTCTCTAACTAAGCGGTCTACTTGGTTGGAACGTACTTGTTCAAAAGAAAAATTAATAGGAGGTCATCAATAATGACATTCTATGGAAAGCTGTATACAATGAATTATTTTTTGGGAGTGGATTTAAATGCTCTGGTTGTATGTTACTTTTAATCAAACTATGTTACACATTATCTTTTTCAAAAAACCTTTAGAAACTGAATGAAGTGTTATAGGACTATAACTGTAACTATATAGTAACTGAAATGTTGCATGGTCTCCTAGATCGTATGAGTTAACGCCGGTGAAGAGTTGTTTATGACACTATTAGTGATCTATGCACACAAGTCAACAAGGCCCTACGGAAGCAAGTTTTGAGTGCACCTTTCATGAGATATAATCTTATATAATGAAACAGAATTGAAGCTTCAGAATAAAGTTTTCAAGATTAATTGACAGATATCATCGTCTGTCATTAATAAGTCATGATACAATTTAATGTATAACTCATTTTCTAAAATTTTGTGTTTATGTTGGTTGTTTTTTGTTTTTTTTTTTGTCAATTCGAAATCCCACACCTCTTATAAATTCTACCTATATACGCGTTTTAATTTAATAATGTATAATTACCAGATGTATGGTATGCAAATTTTTCAAACCCAATAAAATTATTTCATTTTTTAACTTTCATTTCCATTTCTAATTACAAAAAAAACATGAATAAAATTTGCAATATAATTCACTTCTTTTGCAAACTTAATCCACTTAGCAATATGATGAAAACTACTTCAAATTAAAAATTTTAATATTAAATTAAACTGTAATTACTTTCTCATTATATACTTAACCAAATTTAGAAAAACAACGTTGGCGTTTGTAATTATGGTAGAAAGACTTACATTTAATAACAATTAAGGTGTAAGTACTTACTTAATATGGAAAAAAGTGAAGTAGATATCTTATTGAAAGGTATACTTAGTGTTAACATATGAATACTGTAATATTTTGTAGTGATGTAAGATATTATATATTTTATCAAACTTATACTCTTTAGTCCAGAGAGTTTCACTATAGACGTAATATTCAAAAACAAAACAAGCAAATTTTATTCTGTGTAGGTTTATATATAACCTTACACTGAAATCATAATCCAAATGATTTGAGAATAAATGAGCTAAATATATAGTTCATTATTAGGACTATACTTCACAGAATCATTTTTGTAGTCAGTCTTCTTTTACTTTAAATGCAAAGTAGAGTAACCTTTACTAGTAGTAGTAGTAGAAAGGTTTCGAAAAGTAGTGAACTACAACAACAAAAATTATATTATTTTAATTAATTAAATTTTTGGCTGATCATACAGCTGTTTTAAGTATTGCCAATACCTATCATCAGTGGATACCTATCATCATTATTGCTTGTATTTAATTATTCGTAAATAATTTTTCGAGAGTGCAAGTAGCCGGGATTGAACTAGTGCCCTGTTAAATTTAAAACTCAGAGCCAGCGTTTTATTATTTATTAAGTAAGTGTTTAAGGTTTGCTGTATTATCGCATCTATATTGGCAATCACAACTATAAACAAAACTTATGTTTATCTCTCTAACTCTTTTAAGATAAGGAGTGAATTTAGGATAAGCCCATTTTCCCTTATCTAAGGCATCATATATGTGTTCCAGATCATTGAGCTGTCATAGACTATAATATAGGTGATAGCAAAGATACTAATAATTGTACTTGGACGCACATAAACAAATAACAATTTTTAAAGTTTACTTCGCGGAATGCCTTCATTAGATTAATGACTTTGTTGACTTAATACTCAAAAGAGTGAAGTAGGACTAAAATGACTTGTAATGTGACGAAAAACTATAGAAAACTATATTTCCTGTCAAATACCATCAAAGAGACTTTTTAGCATGAAATAACATTATTGCTATCAATATTATTGTAGTATTTACAATAGCGAGTAACGAACTCGACATATTAAAATACAATCGGAAAGCGAGTAAATTTGTTCTATTGTTCTCACGTAACACAGTTACTACGTTATTTGCTTAGTAAGTTCTTTACTCTTAATTGTGATATGATATACTATTTAAATATTGGTATTTGAATTAAAACAAAATTAACCCAAGCATGTATGTATTAGTTACTAAAACATACATTAGCTATTAACCAATAATAATATCCTAAACTTGACCTGTAGTTTAAATAGTTACAAGCAAAACATATACTGCATTTAAGATCCCTTTGAAATTTTCACTCAGATACGCTTCTTTAAAAGTTTCCGTAAAAATGACTAGATTTCAGGCTGTACAATTTGTTGATCGCTTCCGAAATGTTAAGTAACCTAACAATTTAAAAATGTAACACGCAATTGTAATTGAATAATCAATCAGAAACTGAACTGTAATGCTAAACAAGATCTGCTATAATATCCCAGTAGAAAAAGTGGTCTTCGAAGACATTGTCTTCAAGACGGTCTTTGATACCGCGTCCGCATTTTCAAGC